GAAGGTTTTCAGCCATCAAATTTCTTTTTCTTTAGAAATTTTGAAGTTTCTGACATTATCTTTGTAAGAGTTTCAAAATTCTCATCAACATTCACAGTATGTAATTTCAGCATATTTTCTTCTCTTTACTACCTGAGTACATTTATTATCCCACCAAGGAGGAGAAGGAATAAAAACCCAAAGAGCTATTTTTAATAGGAAAAATTTCATTGGCGACCTCAATAAAGGTTCTTGCCAACGAATCTGCACACTGAGATTCTGTACTTGGATTAATTTTTGGAAGTGTAATAATTTTGTTTTTTTTTAGATCTTTATATAAATCCCAATCAGCATCATTAAGCTTATGTTTTAGACGAGGAGAATATATTTTATGTAATACTTTATTGTTATTATTACCGGTTGGAAATGATAATAATAATGGGAAGTGATCACTACCATAAGTGGAGTTTAAGGTTTGCCAAATCAATGATGAGGCTAAACTAGGTGAAGAAATGGAAAGGTCAGGAGCACTTTTACCTTCATTAATATTGGTTCTTCGTGTAGAAGTGCAATTATTTAAAATACAAAGATTAAGTGAATCTACAATATCCAACACTTCATGTCCATAGATATTGTTATTTGAACTACCCCATGACTGGTGTTGAGCATTAAAGTGACCTAAAACAAGTATAGGTTTGGGAAGAGATACTAAAATATTTTTAACTTCATTTAAAATTTGAGAAGAAGGATGAGGAATATATATAGAGACAAAGCAAATGTTATTTACAATGATAGCGATGATTGAAAGATTTTTATCATGAGAAGAAATATTTACATGAGAAAAAGGAAAAAGTATGTTTTACTAATATTGCAACACCACCATAGCCACCAGATCGATCTTCTCTAATACAAGAATATCCTTGAATTTTAATAACGGATTCAGGTTTTAGCCAAGTTTCTTGAAGACATACTATGGTGGGATGATACTTATTAATAATATGGATAAGATCACTTTTCTCACTGTTTACACTACGACAATTCCACTGAATTGCCTTGGAGTAACTGTCCATTATGACTAATATAATTATTGATAATTTCCATTATTGGTTGGGCTAGGTTGGACGGTTGATTATGATTTAAAATATTTAATAAAGCAATTATAAGTTCGACAATAGATTGTTTAGATGAATCATTTGTTTTATTGACAACCATTTTTAGGGGAAGGCAAATCAAATTCATTTATGATAGCATTATGAGCCTTGACATCGTATCCTTTGTTTGATGTTAAATATTGATGAGGTTTTAAAAATACAGTCTTCTTATAGGAAACATTTTGCAAATCTTTATTATTATTTATATGAGTTCTGTTGATGACAGGGTTTGAAGAAGTGTTTGAGGAAGTTGTTACATCAGAATATGATTTGGTTATTGTAGGGAAGATCTTGGATGCCTCTGCATAAGAAATACTATTTTTAGCCATATGCTCTTTGATATTTTTTTTGCCTTAAAAATTCTTTACATATTTTATTTGTTGCATAGTGGGAGCTATGACAAATACAGCAAAATGCCTCATCTTCTGATGTACAGCTGCTTCCAAAATGACCATCCTTGCCACATTTAAAGCAGCGAGGATTTGATCTACACATATCCTTGACATGCCCATATCGACAACATTTAAAACATTGTATAGTAGGGAAAATATACAAGTCTACAGGAAAAGAATTAAAACATATGAAAATTCTTTTAGGAAGAATCTGGCCATCAAAAGTCAGGACAACTGTTTCCGTATCAATAAAACTGGTTTTATTATCAATGAATGTTTTCTTTTTTAGTCGCCTAGCTTTTAAAACACTACCACAACCTGGAGGAACAGAAACATTCTGAATCACCTCTTCTGTAGACCATTCTTTGGGAATCCCTCTCACAATACCCATTTGAGAAACATTAAATGATGGAATAAAGGCTTTGAACCTGTTATTCGAAAGCCTAGTGTCGCTGGTAAAATTATTAGCGTCTGAAGAATTCGTAAATATAAGAGAGAGCCTATTTCTGCCAATTCTCTTCAAACTTCCATTTAGGATATTTTTGAATGAATTATTTTTAAGAAATCGGCCAAACGAGACGGGGTGAAGTGAGACATTTTCATATGGAGACATTATTTCTTTTTGAATATGAACTACATATGGTCCAATATCCGAGGCTTGGTAAAGACGAGTTGTATTAGTTGGAATCTTAGTATCACCTTGAACACTAGTGGTCATTGTGATAGGTGTGGAAAGGTCACAATTATTATTATCCTCATTTAAACAAGAACAGCCATTCTCTTTATCAGCCTTGCCATGACGTTTTCTTTTCTTATTGCAATTGTTGCATATTTTTAAAGTATTTGTGCGTTTTCTCAGTAGTTTTGCATTATTTACAGAACTTGCATCCGTATCCATTGAAGATTCACAATGCTCAATTGTGACATAATGAGATACCTGTGGGACTGTGCCCCCAGGATCGGGAGGTTCGTCCCCCATGGGGAAAACAAAATAAATAAATAAAAAAGCTTACCCTACGAAGAAATATTTACACTAACTACAAAATATAAACTAAAAAGAACTAAAATAACAAATATTTACACTACTTTACACCTATCTGATCTTTAAAAGATAATTTCAAATTTTAAATTGTAAAAAACACTCCCGCTCTTTCGACGTTTCCCGCGCTTTTTTCGGAAGTAAGGTTACATGACCTATCTTTCACCCTCGAACCCGTGTCTCTGATTCTAGAAAACGATCCTCTCGTCTAATAATTACTTATATATCTGTAACAGATTACTTAAGTAATTTGTTACAGATAATTGATCACTTAATAAATATGCTATGTTGTTACCTTACAAACAATATCCGACTAATAATTTTTTGACAAACACAAAAATGAAACATATATATACATATATACTTTTTTTTAATCATCTGTATCATTTTTTTCTTTTTTTAATTAATCATTGGCAGATTAAACAAACATTATTTTGCTGATTTATAATTTAAATTAACTTTTAATATGACTCTTCTTTCAAACATTTCATCTAACAGGTGGTTGGCTTTCGGACAATTAATCATAATAGCATACGAAAACATACGTTCCACAGGCTCAGAAGAAGACAGAGGAGTATTAAATTTTAAAAATACTTCTTTAATTTCTCTATGGTTATTTAATATTTGAAGTTCTCTACTGTCTTCTGCCAAAAAATTAGTGACTATAAGTTCAGCTCTGGATCTTGGCTCACTGCTCTGGTTGTCTGAATTCGAACTTGTATCTATTTCAAAATAATCGTCTTCCCTAGACTTCGTTGACTGTCTTTCCTGAGATATAGAGTTTGGCATAATCTTTATAATTTTCTTTCCTAGTAAATTCTTCATTACACAATATTCTGACTGACCTTTTAATGACGTCCATTTTAACTTTTTATATTTAGGATGTGAAATTGCAGCTATAGCAGCATTTTAGGCTTTATAAGAACGAACATTTTTCAATCTTTTGCTTTTAAGATATTCTTGGTATTCTTGTATAGTTTCTTGTCCATGATTTCGTTTTAAATGTGTTCCAAAATTGGATGTACATACACTCAGTTGCAGAAACAGACTTTAAATTTTAATGCCTTCTTTAAATGCAATTGAATCATTAACTTGTTGCACAAACAAACATTAGCAAAGATTTTAATGCCTCTTTAAATTTAACTAATGAAGTGTCAATCTTGCACATTAGCTATAATTTACGTTGCACAAAACGTCATTAACGTCAAATTGGCGCTAAAGGACCATTATTTTGAGAGTTTGAGGTTATAATGTTTAATGACTGCAAACGCTCTCGTTAAAATCGTCATTAATAGTGTTTCAGTGATAAAACCTATTCTTGCTAATTAAAATGTCGCTCTCAAGCCTATCGTCGTTGTCTGACCCGGAAGAAGTCGTTTCAACTGGACGTAGAATACCAGATAGGGTAAATATATTTGATGAACATGATGGTGAAGTTTTCCGCATTAGATATCGTCTATCTAAAGTTACGGCTCTGCAAATTTCTGAACTTTTGGATTTAAAACCAGTAACACAACGAAATAAAGCCATAGATGGCATAACACAATTATTAATTTGTTTGAGGTTCTTTGCCACTGGATCATTTCAGCAGGTGCTTGGTGATTTAGTTAATATTCATAAATCAATAGTATGTCGTATAGTACAGAAAGTGACACGCAAGCTCGCAGATCTGAGCTCAGCTTATATTAAGATGCCTGATAGGCAGGAGTTGAGAAGGGTTGCAGAAGACTTTTATGAGATTGCTGGATTCCCACGGGTTGCAGGAGCCCTAGATTGCACCCATATCAAAATAGTTAGCCGAGGAGGGTCCTTAGCCGAACTGTATCGTTGCAGAAAAGGATATTTTTCAATTAATGTTCAAGCGGTATGTAATGCCTCTTTAAAAATAAGAGATTTAATTGTAAGGTGGCCAGGATCTGTACATGATTCAACAATATTCAACAACTCCCATTTGTGTGCAGATTTTGAAAGAGGAAAATATAGCCCATATCATTTATTAGGAGATAGTCGCTACTTCAATAAGAACTATTTGCTGACCCCTTTTTTGAATCCTCAAAAGTCTGCAGAGGAAGCTTATAATAAAAGCCACATTTCTACTAGAAATACTGTGGAGAGGTGCTTCGGGGTACTTAAACGTCGCTGCCCATGCTTGGAAAAAGGAATAACTTTAAAAAAAACTTCAACCATTCTTCAGGTGATTGTGGCATGTGTAATGCTACATAACATATGCATAGAGCTAAATGAAGTTGATCCTCCAGAAGACATTGAAATTTCAGTAGACAGTCCTAATATTGGAATATTGTCTATAAGTTCTCAGTCCACCAACAGTGCTGTTCGTGCTGCACTAGCAAATAGTGTGTTTTGTTAAACTATAATTAATTAATACTTGTTTGTGTAAAGATAATAACTTAAGAAATAAATGAAATACATATGTGCGAAATATGTTTTTATTCCTGTGGCTAACAATAGTATGAAAAATGTTAAAAATGAATTCATATGAAAATGAAGATTTAAAAAAAGCAAATCAGTGGAGACTAATGTTTTTCTAGTCTCCACTGTTTTGCTTTTAGAATCTGCATCCGAAGTTCATGCTTTTTTGAAGTTTAATATCTCAACCATCAGCTTTTTTCTTTCCAAATCAGCATTCTGACTTTTTTTTTTTTGAAATATGTGTTCTTTAACTGCTCTGCAGATGATTTTTTTATTAATTTTCTTGGAGTCACTGAAACAAAAATGCCAGTATAATTTTTTCAACAATATGTAACTTACCAAATGTATAACAAGATAAAGCTTGGCTGTGTACCAACCTTTCTTTTTTTGTAGCATTTTGATATGTGCTGGTTCATTTATTTTCTTTATACTGTCAGATTCCATTGAAAATTCTAGAATAAAAAAAACAGTTTATGATTATAGCCTGAAACAATCACAAGTTAATGGTTAAGTATAAAAATATAAATTTGTGTAATTCAATTCTCTACCTCTTTTCTTTAGAACTTTTCCCTCACTTTCCGATGCTACTCTTTTGGGGGTTACTTCTTCGAGACCTGAAAAAAGAGAAATAAGAAATATAAGTATACATAAATTATTGTTGTGATCTGACAATATGTACACATGCCATACACATATATAAATTTAAAACTTACCTGTAGTCATACTTATTTCTTTTAGTGCTACACAAGGTGTGTACGGAGATGAATTTATTAAATCGTTGTCAATTAACTTGTTGCCTTCGTCAGTACAAGTTATTTCAACTACATCTGAAATTAAGGTTTCTCTGTAAGTCAGCAATACGAAAATTATTAAATATAAAATAAAAATTACAAACCATTAAAAAAATCTGCTGCACTATCATATGGATTGTGAAGTGGTTCCGTCTGTTCTTTTATTATTGAAAGAACTTTTGCATCTGTTTCCGTAGATTTTGGTTTCCAGAAGCCACCACCAGTCTTTTTCATTTCGATCTAAAAATATTTATATTAGTAAATAGAAAACATCAACACTTTTAATGTTTGTAAAATGTCATTAATAAATGATCTTTACCTTGTCTTCTTTAATGTTTATTAAAGCTCGTGTAACGTCTGCCTCAGTCACAACTTCCATTTCCATTGCCTGAATATATGCTACTTTCTGTGAATATATTATAATTTATGACATTACTGCACATAATAAATATTAATAAATTAATACTCATAAATAAATTCTCATTAAATTGGTACAATAATGAAGATTGTTAATGAGAACATCCCTTTCATCCAACACAAAAAATACTTGGTAAGTTCTCGCAAGTACAATTAAAATATAGTACACACTTACAATTAAAATATAGCTATGATCTTATACTGTGCCCTACGGAATTAAGAATTAAATTTACATTTTTTTCTCCAATTTCTTTGCGAGATTTTTGCTTCATATTGTCATATAAAGCTTTCAGCTGGTCAACATCCCTGGGACCACTACTGCAGCTGCTATTATATTTTGAGGTTATAGTTCTCCAAACCTCCTTTTTCTTTTGGATAATAATGCCACCTGTTCGTTTACTTTCCAAAATATCTTTACATCTGCAAAAATAACAAGTTATACAGCTAAACTTTACAATATATAATGTTTAAAATTACAGAATTGCCATGTTGTAATTTTGGTAAAATCTTAATTTGATGTTACAGTCAAGGGACTTCACCATGTTTGCCCTACAGTTTATTATAACTGGCTAGATTTAAATACCTACTTGTATCTCCGAAAATTTATCATCTTCTAGACAGATTATTTATTTACCAGCACAACAAGCTAAGTGTAAACCATAGGTAGGTACTTACTGCATGATGAGATCCAGCAGCAATGTTTTTTCCTCTTGAGTGTAATTTGCTCCACGTTTTCTAACTTGTTTTTGCGACATTTTGTTTAAATTATTAAAATATTAAATCAAAATATCCAGCGAAAGAAATCACCACGAACTTAATGCAAGCGATGCGATCAATCAAATCATTTGACATGACAGACAGCACTTGACGTTTGCGTTTTATTCTCATTAATTTTACAGGAACAAAATGACTTTGATGAAATTTGTGTGAACAAAACGTAAAACATTCACTCATTTCATTCAATTTTTATTTAAATGCTGGCAATGCTTTTTAAGGGTGCTATTAAATATTCCTTAGCTAAAGGGCTTCATAATGGAACCATTTATGTTTTGTGCAACGTCTTTAATTTAATGAAATAATTAGTGGTATAGTAATCGGCAAACTTCTTGAGCAAATGACCTTGACTGCGCAGAACCGAATTTTAGATCACTTTGGTGGCGAGGGTGAGGCGCGACGGCAGGGGAAATCGTATCGAGCGCGTTATTGGTAGATCAGTCGAACCTTGCGTCCCGCACCGCGCCCTCATTCCGCTTGCTCCCAAAAGTACGCTTGCGTACAGTGGAAAGTCTATCGTTATTAATCGTTAAGTTATTTGTTATAATTGCTTGTGGACTTTGTTGCCATTGCTATTTGTTGAGTGTTTGTTGATTTTTTATAAAACATACACTATGCCGTGACAAACTGGTGTAGTACTTAAAAGAAAGGGTAGAAAATTTGTGTACGACGTATATTGCTTCATTATAAAACAGGGGAAGAATGATATGGAAAAATTAAAACAGACTTCGGAAGCAACAAAAACATCAGTGAGTACTGTTAGGTGCATTATTAACGAAGCTAAAGGCTCTGGCTTGCTCGCCGTGTTTCGGACTCCGGGTAAGAAAAGATCAGGGAAGAAGAAAGTTACCGGAATGGATAGTTTCGTTCAATCTGTAATAAAAAGATGTAATCATAATAACTACATAACAAGCAGCGAAACTCCGTACCGTAGAAAGGCTTCGAAAAATTTAAAGAAGATATAAATTTTAATGGCTCGGAATGAAGCTTACGACGAATTATGAAAGAGCTAGGCTTCAGATGGAAAAAAAGAACAGAAAATAATCGGAAGCTGGTAAATGAAAAAAGTAACATTCGATTACTACGAATCGAATATCTTCAAAAAATAATTAATTATAGACAAAAAAGAAGACCGAATCGACCGAGTTGTAAACTACGCCGATGAGCCCTATGTCGACTCATCACGATGATAGCGACTCGGGTGATGAAAACAGTGATGATGATGATGGTCAAGATTATGATAACGAAAAAAAAATTACAAATACCAGCTTCGCTTTAACTGAACCAAGACCTGGCAACAGCTCTAGTTTTGACTTAATAGAAGGAATATCTATTTTACCCCAAGATTAAATTATTACAATTATTAACCTATATGTTTTGTTGATGTTCTAATAAATATATAAATAAATACATATGTTGATTTTAATAATTTAATAGCATTATGACGCAGAGTAAGTAATGTTTTTGCACGTGAGTGTACCATGCGCAAACTTACCCCCACTACGTCAACAAATGCTCAAGAAGTTTGCCGGTTATTATAATGACTCTTTATCTAATGAGATATTTAAAGAACGCTTTCTGCAACTGAGTGTAAGTGGAATAAAATAATTAAAGGCACAAATTGCTATCATCACTATTATTAATATTATTTTATCTTTACATACTTGGACGTTGACTTGTGCTGTAGCTTTTCTCATTCGTGGTTTTTCTTGCGTATCATCATACTCCCACCATTCCATTCCTCTTAAACATAAAGCGATAAAATGTCCCATTGTTTCACAGTTATCTTTATTTCCGTAAGATCTCCTCCGTGTTGTTCGTTGTGTTAGATAAACTGTTCCTGCAAGTCTGTAGTTTTCATTTTTATCTATAGGATTTTGGAAACCTCTTGGAATTTCATTTAGCTTCATAACTTGATCTTCACTGTTATTAAAAATTTCCAAAATCACTATCTCACCTGTGAAGTATTTAATATTATGATCAGATGTTGGAAAAAATAAATATTTATCTAAGCAACTAAAAAATACGCTTTAATACAAAACTAAATTAAGAAATAGACAATCATTTTTATTGGTAGATATTGATACAAATTAAGCAATTATCAATACCCCCTTTAAAGTACACCATGCTTCTTACAAAAATAATGATAACTTGTTGTTTATGATGTCCTATACCAATATAAGCCTTAAAAATCTAGAGTCAGCTTCAAGTCTTAGAAACACAGAAGTCAGGTGAAGGAAACATTTATTGCAAGCGATGCGAACAGAAGAACAGGAAGAGAAACAACATCGTTAAAGAAATAATAGAAGGTGGCATCTAAATGAAAAAAAAGGCACAAGCTGGAGTCCTGAATTGTAAAGACAGAAACCTACTAATAATCTGCGACGAGCTAGCAATCAGCAATTTTAACGGCAGAGCCGGAAGTGATCAATCGGGTCCTATATAAAGAGAAAAACGTCACTAGTAAGCCTTCTAAACACGGCCCAATAATGGCTATGGTTATGTAAGAGATGGAATGTGTTAATGTTATAAGAAATATTTAGGAAAATTAGAAGTGTCTGCCACTGAGCAGAGACTGAACGAAGGCCTTATCAATTATTAAGACATCTTGAGAAATGGAGAATATAAAAATCTATCATGGAGTCAAATATAACCTCTCGTTAAACTTCGTAAAGATGACCACCAGCCCTTAACAATACCGGTTGGACAAACGAATGCCAGATTGGATAAAGCTAATGTAGTACAAAATAAGATTCGGTAAAATTGGAAAGGAAGAAACAAGGGTTTCAAGAATTGGCAGTGATAGTTTTGTCAATGTGGGGTAGAAACTCTCAAATACAAACATAGATAACAGCTGTTGGCAGGCAGTTTTAAGGCAGAAGTTAAAAACTATACGCAAAACTGGCTGGGAGACAGTGTGGGATCAGACTTTGAATGGCTAATAACATAGACCCTTAGAAGCAATTCAATACTAGAAATCTATTAATCAATAATTAACTTCGAAAAACTTGTTAGAGAAGATGAGTTGATCGTAGATGAGCAAGAAGCAGTAACACAGCATACACAAGGGTGAACTCAATTAGTCAAGCCTTCAAAACAAAGATAAAAAAATACTCAAAAAACTTTAAATCTTTTCTTTTTGAGTTCATGAATTTAAAGAAGTTTTCTCCTTTGCTATAACTTTGCAGTTGTTCAATTACTAAAGATAACTTATTTTTTTACCAAAACATCTTAAAACTAGAGATTTTTAGGTTTAAAGTGCTTTTTTTTCTTTGTATATAATTAGATGTTTCTTTCTCTCCGGTGCAGCCTAATTGTTTGCATCTGGTCTTCATAGTAACAATAGGCAATTTTGTTAGATCAAGATTGCCTTTTTCAATTTCTGAAATATACAAAACTGGAGCAATAACATCTTTTCGATCTTCCTGGAGGCACTTATTACATTTCATCAAGATTTGACAACTTGGTGTATTTTCAAACATTTTCAAAACGATTTGCATAATACTGGTTGTGCAGTTTATCAAAAGTGAACCATCCGGCTGTTCGATAGATTTCATAAATTCGTAATGAAATTTGGCTCGAAGATTGTATAATTTAGAAAATCCTATTGTTCCATCTTGTATTCCTAGGGCTAATTCATACATACGGTTGTCAAGTTCTTGAATCTGTTGATAAGAAAATATATACATATAAATATACGCATGTAATAATATTGTTTAGCTTTTCTTCAATAAAAAATTCACTACATCATTTCTACATTTTTTATGCAGAAGCAGATTTGAAAATAATTTAGTTAAACTACTTATATATAGTAAATTCTAGTTACTATGTGGCTTTTTTTTTTAAAGAGAGAGATAGACTTTTTCTTTAAAAATGTCAGGTTCAAGATACTTAAATGTATCTATGTGTAAGATATTATCAAGATATTTATAGTATCGATAGGACTTGCTAATAATTTGATTTTTTAAATTCTAATCTTTTTCTGCTACGTAAGAGAAGTAATCAACCGAGTAATAAATAATTAATCGATTGATTTCATAAGCTTCTAATAATCATGGCTAAGAAATCATGTTTGTTATTTTTTTTGAAAGTCTTTTGAATAAGCAATAACGTTATATGGAACTTTCTTAAGAGAAATTATTAGTAAAAAATTGATTATACTTGTTGAATATTTTTTTTTTTCGATTACAGGTGTTTGAAAGATGTCATGTAAATATTGCAATTTATGCTTTTAAGAGTAATTGAAAAAATTAATAAAAACTATCGTTTTAGATATTGTATTAATATTTACCTTAGAACGAAAATTTGGCCAATCACAAACAGCCGCGGCAATTATTTGGTAAAGACTATCAAATGCGCATGTTAATATTGCATTCACTGGTTTACCGTCAATTTTAGTGGATGCCAAATCACCATTGCTGCCGTTCTCTATTATTGTTATTTGTTTACGATTAGTTTTAAATTGTAGCTGTTCATTGATTAAGGCAGGTTGATCTCCTAGATACCTTTTTTTTTTTTTTTTCGGGTAGAGGGCCGAACCTCCTACGAGGTCCCCGCGCAAAAGGAGCGCGCGGGGTATGTGAGACTCAACGATCTGCATGGTGTTGTGAGCAGACCGCGGGCCCAAGGATTTTAGGACCCACCCACTAAACGACTCCCCTGCACTCTTACACCCGACGTCCGATCCCCTCGGAGGTCAGAACCCGGATGAGGTAGGGGGGCTACCGCGGTCAACACTACAACCAGACGGCGCGGCTCACCCCAAGGACGCCCAGCCGACGGAGCCGCGGCAGCGAGAGGTCCTCTCCTATGACCGCGACGAGGGCGGCGCGTTGCTCGTCGAATCCAGAGCAACGCGCCAATGTATGTTCCGCTGTGTCTTCCTCGTCGCGGTCCGCGCAGTNTACATTTTGTGTTTTATTTTTGAATTATTATTCATCTCAATTACTTTTTTCTTAGCAGCATATGAAGCTTTCGCTGTTTCGCCACCCCAATTTTCTTTATGGCGAGAAGAAATAACGATTTCAATGTTATCTTGCTTTTTACAGCTTAAGCAAATTCTTCTCTGACCAAAACCTTCTTCTAGATCTAAAGGAGTAGAACAAGAATCTAAATTGTGAACCGGTTTGTGGCATATAAAACATTTATGGTTTCCAGAAGGGGTTTTGTCTCGTCTACATGCAGGGCACATATTAACATCTGCATTAGGTGAAGTTTCTAGATTATCAAGAGTTTCATCATCTTTATTAGCAAGATCAACATCTTCACTA